AAGGCCGTCCTCACCGGCAATCTCTTGAATGTAGATGCACATCCACCCTTTCGTACCATGTTGCAGAACAAGGCATTCTTGGTTGAGTGGTTAGCACACAACAAGAAGCACGGACCCGACATCATTGCCTTTGCAGGAGTCGGTATAGCAGAATCCATGTTTGCTTATTGGGGAACCTGGGCATGATCCGCATGTCCACGAATTCTGATGCATGAGTTTTTCAGCTTTGCATATGTTCAATTCCTCAATTTCGTGATGCGCGTGTTTGCGCTTGACCCGTTTTGAATCTCAAGAAATATGTGTCTGCCTCCGCAGCCACTTTCGGTTTACAACCAATCCGACCTTTGCAATCTTGTATGCTCGATCATCTCGTTGACATGCCCGTTCTCAACCTGATGTTTGGACGATCCGGCGACGCGGCACCTGTGCCAAAGCCGATGATCAAGAGACGGGCGTCACCATTGAAGGAATCCCCTGCTCGTGATGAGGAAGATGAGACATCCGATTGCCCCATGGAGCAAGTCGCTGATGAGAATCCATCCGCCTCTCAACAACCCGAGAATGTCAACATGGAGCAGGTTGATTATGATCGAGATTCCGACGATGATGATTCAGATGAAGAAGGGCATCCTCTCGAAGGAAGGCCTCTGTCAAAGGCGATGCCACATCCGAAACTTGTTCCAAAGTCACCGCCACCGACATTGAGGCTTGTCTCCAAGGTCAAGCCAGCACCAAAGAACACCCTGGATGACGAGACGGAATCCGACAATCATCCTGGTGATCGACCTGCACTTCCAAGGCGACCAGTGATGCGGCCTGTTCTCACATCCAACGATCGGTGGTTTGTAACATATGGATCGGATACGCCTCCATCCGTCAGGACCATTCGGAAACTCAAAATTCCTGACTTTTGTGCACGAGTACTACAAGGAATGCTCAACCATCCACGATGTCAATCCGGACTTCCACTTCGTTCCTGAGCACGAGAGACCGCATGGAGTTAAGGTATTCTGGTTGAAGGCAAGATTCAACGATTACTGGCATCCAACACTCCAAGGTGAAGGACCTCATGCAGAGAACCAATACATGGACTTCATCAAGAAGGTCTACAGCATCTGCTGCTACAGCAATGCTCAATCCGAAGTTTACGGAACCGACATCATCCCGATGGTATGCCACAACGGCAACATTGATCTCGATAAGACCGTCCAGAATGTCGAACAGGTTTGCAAATATTTCCGCATGGAAACATCCAAGGCGAAACAGATCACAGATCTCATCCTCTGGCGAATTGAGAGAATGAGCAGATCGTTTTCCGGATGTCTTCGACATGATCCAAGGCATGGAATCCATAAGGAATGCAAACGGCAGGTGGAAATGGGTCCTGATGGATCCGTCGAGCTCTATGACGCATTGACCTGCATCACACATGCCAGGAACTTCATTGGAAACAAGCCAGGACTTCTCTTGATGGCTATGTTCCCGAGCTATGGAAAATCACGTTTCGAAATTGCGTTCGTATTTCCATCCGTGGACGGGACATATAAAGAGCGCAAGGCACGGGGAGAAATTGTTCCAAGGAATCGATGGATCGACAAGCTCAACACCAGATCCGCACAAAGTGCACTCAGGCCCGATGGCAAGGACTTCTATGTTGATCCTGAGATGGAGTTCTATGTGAGATGCAACAGCGGACACACACGACAAGTCGATATCCAATCCTTTGGACGACCCCTGTTCTCTGAGCAGAAAGAGCCTCATTACGACGAACCGGACTATGATTTGCCAACGGAATCCATTCCGCCAAGTCCGCATCCGTCAAGATCCGAGGCGCCTCATGGAGATGAAAGCACAGCTCAGCCCAAGTACAGAATGCGAAGGCCGGCACCACCATCCGTTGAAGAAGAGAGAAAGATCAAGCCGTTCTCGAAGAAGCCCATCACATTCATGTTCCATGCAACCTATGGAAGTCAGCTCTACAGCATCATGGAGCACGGGCTCAAATCTGGGAAGTCCCAGTCAAACCCTTCGGGGAGAATGCACGTTCACATGGCATGCATCGATGACGTCATCCTCGAAGACGATGAGTCAGAAACCGCATTGACCCATGTGCCAGCAGGAAGAGATGCGTTGCTGATCCTTGCATTTCTCAAGGACCAAGACTCTGGCATCCGCCTTTCCGAAGAGAGAACAGCGTTGACAGACAAAACCATCGAGGCAAGGAACATTGTTGCAGCATTTGAACCTGATGGCAGCCTCATGGCGAGCAACAAGTGGATCATGAAGAAGTATCTCGATCATGAAGATTACGAGATGTACGACACCGAGATCCGCGAATTCGCCGATGCCTTCTTCACGTATGTGAATTCCACCAAGCACAACAAGGAAAAAGATACCTCCTCAGAGACCAAGAAGAGACGGCATTCCACCGATCAGGACTCCACCGAAGGAGAAATGATGGAACCCTCCGGGGAAAGATCCGTCAAGCCCAAGGTCATCGTGGAATATCACAATCCAGAGAACCTAGAAGAGTTCATCCAAGAACTCAAGGGAACCTTTCTCGAAATAGATATGAACAAAAAGGACGCAGAGGAAGAGCTTGCGGGGATCAAGGAAGAACTCAAACGCTTCATGAACCAGTTCAACAAAGATCCGAAAGGAGCTCATCCCAAGTTGACAGAGTGCGAGAGAGCCTCATTGGCACATGTCGATCCTGATGTCAATCTCGGTGAAGAAGAATTCTACTTCCCTCATCGAGGAGAATGTCCCACCATTGACGAGTACAAGAAGCTGCCGCTTGGACTGAAGAAGCTCAGGTCACAAGATGACCCGAAAATCATCCGAGCTTATGCCGATATCCTGGGATCGCTGATGTCACAAGGAATCCAAAGTTGGACAACAGGGAGGTGTACAACATGCCGATGAAGGATCGACCGATCGTCAAGATGATGATGCAGAACAGTGCACACATCCTATGCCTGAATGAGGCAGACGCATTCTTCAGTCCGAATGATGAGAAATCCAGGGAGCTCATCAAGACGTTCATCCGATACGGTTACAAGGGCATTGTGATCAAACAATGGTCATCCAGACCGATCGCATGCTTTGTCCGCGGCGGACCATCTGCAAGAGTGGAACTTCTGGCAAGACACATTTCCACCAGGAGCCAGAATTGGGGAACCACATTCGGAATGTTCAGATGTTTCTTCGGAACCAAAGAAGATGGCACTGATCCCGAATACGAAATTCCGACCTCGGATTGCTTGGCAACCACAGGAACATCCATGTTTACCGAATCCAAGAAGTACATTGGATCGAGATTGCCAGCACGCACCATTGTTCAAGGACATGGCCGAGACAAGGAGATCGTCGTTCTCCATATCGAGCAGAGTGATGAGTTTCGTGGCATGATCCCGAAATCATCCGACAAATCATACTACGAGTATGACGACCGCCACATCACGAGGGCAGACTTGCCATTCGCGACCATTGGAGTCTTCCACATCCATCCTTCACTTAGTCATGGAGCAGCAAAGGAAGATCTTCAGAATGAAATCATGCCGCTCGTGACCTTGTACCGATGCGATGCGATCACCGGAGACGCCAACAAATCGGCGAGCACCTACAGCAAACTCCAGCATGTCTACAATCCAACCAACTGTCTCGTGAACATCCTCATGAGAGCGTATCAGAGACTGTGGAATGCGACGAAGAATTTGCCACTCGTGGACAGAATGGAGTATACAGTGGAGACTTCGTGCACCCTGAAATCCATTGTCCGTCATCACCTGTACATGAAATGCGGATCAGGTTTTGATCGAACATTCCCAGATGTGATGATGACTATCGTATTTGGATGGGGCAAAACGAACATCCAGCAGGACTTCCGGAAGATCGAGATGAACAGTATGGATGATGAACAACTGGAATTCATGCGGAACCATCCGAACAAGGCCATTTTCGATTACCAGGTCTCATCCGCAGAGCGCTACAAGCACGTGAACAATGAAATGTTCATGAACGGCTCGCAGGACTCCGACTCCCACAGTCCTCTCATGGTTTACATCCGCAGCAAATCTGCAACCAGTAAACGCAGCTCTGAGAGATACCAGGATTACGTCAAGAAGAGACAATCCTGGACCACGCAGGAGTACAAGGACTACAACAAGCAGTGGGGATATCAGAAGCAGTGGAAGGACTACAGCAGTTCGACCTGGAATGATTATGGAGACCATGGCAGTCAATCCGACAGCAGTCGCCGATGGTATCGTCGATCCGACTGACCATGAAGATACGTTCAGCACCACGAGCAATCCAGATGATTGATCCTCCTCGTCTACAAGACTATACCATGAGTGAGTGATCAAGAGTTTCCCATTGTTCCGCGTGTACATAGCGTTGTACATCACCCTTTGATACAATTAGGTATCCAAAAAGAAGCGTACATAGTGTTTCCCATGTCGAAGGCCAAGACATTTCATCCAGCAGAAAAAGGATGAATCCGGCACTTTTAATCACATGGCTACGGCACACATTAAGGCTACGGTCAAAGGCCATGAAGCCAATAGTATTTCATACTTTGTGCTGGAGATCAAAAGAAATTTGTGTCTGTTTTGTGTTCTGTTTCCCAGACCATTGATCTCCCGCAACATTTGGCTCAAGGCCCCTTTTGCAGAATCACGACCATCTGAGCGTGAGGACAAAAGAGCCATTGCAGGCCGCTTACAGGATTATCCATCAGACAATCCACCAGGGACAATCCATCCTCCAATCATCCATTACTGGCATATTGGACTCTCTCCGGAATAGATTCAGGGACCAACAACGACCTCAACTACCACAGGGTTCCAGTTCCCTCCAGGGATAGGCACCTGGAACAGTGGGCCTCAGGGGGAGGGGGAAGGGGGGAAGGGGGGAAGGGGGGAAGGGGGGGAAGGGGGGGAAGGGGGGGAAGGGAAAAGAAAAAATGCGACATGGAGAAATCGCTGGAGCCAAGCCGCTGCCGGTCTTCCAGCGCTTCTGCTCCGCCGCTGCCATGGCCCGGAACCGGTCCAGCGCCCGCCGCACCAGGAGCCTCGCGGCTCGCGCGGAGGCGTGGGCGGAAGGTGCCGGGAACGGCTCCAAGCGAAAGAGACACGGGGAGGACGAAGGGAGGGGTGAGGGAAGGGAGGGAGGGGTGAGGGGGGAGAGTCTTCTTGTTCGGGCTTGGGGCTTGGGTCGGTCTGGCATTCATGTTTTCAAGGGCCCCCCCCCCCCTTTTTTTAGGGGCAGCTCGAACCAAATAACTCGGGGGGGACGACTTTTTCAGGGTAGCCCCCCTCGTTGAGCTCATGGCTTTGGGATAACAGCTCTAAGTAAATAACTCGGGGGACGTCTTTTGTTAGGGGTGGACTTCCCAAAATGGCGGTTTCCTTTTGGTGTGAAGCCACAGGTAGAAATGAGAAAGAGAAGCAGACATGCTCTAACAAATTGGATCCATTTCATTTTGCTTCACACTGCACAGAAGGCGATGACCCGATGCTTTGTCCCGATGCGCTCCAGTCAAGAATTCCTAGGTCCCCGTCACTTCTGGAGCGCTGCCCAACAGTGAAAAGAAACCGGATGGAGCAAACGCAGGCGCTTCTGCTCAGACTCGAGAGGAAGCCTTTTCATCGGGGCTTGACGGCAAAACTGGCCTTGGGGGTGTCAAGAGATCTGCACGTCATTGCGCGTTTCCGACCTCTTGGATTACTTAGCAAGCGGGTGGATCCACATTTGTTCTAACAGCTTCTTGCTTTGGGGCGGGCACAGGAGTGGAATGGACCGCCTGCGAATGGGGGACGTTTTGTTGAGGAAAACAACAGGTGTTGCCTTTGGATTCCTTGCACAAGAAGAGGAAGGGCGGCTTAGTCGAGTTGGTGGCCTTAAGAAGGGCCAGAGCTCCCAAAAAGTGCTTTTGGCGTCTTTGGGCTTCCCCAATCGCAATACTGCGGATGGTTGCGAGAATCCATTTCGCCCCACCAAAAAAAAAACTGGAGTGATTCGATTCCCCTGCAAATACCAACAAACAATGGTTTCAACCATGTTTTCAAAGTGGTACAGGAATTTGTCCGTCCACAGGTCGTGATTTCTAGCACCCCGATTGGTGTATGCCGTGAGCTGGTGATTTTGAGGTTGATCTTGAAGCGCACGACCTAAGGCCTGGACTCCGTCCAATTCCTGTTGGCAACCTGCAAGCCCATGGAAGTTCTCCCCAAGTTCTGCCCCGCCAAAAGGAAACCAAAAGGAACCCCCTCTCTCCAGAAACTTCCTACCCCCAAAGTGTGTAGCTTTTTTGGTGCTGAGGACCACCCCCCTGCCCCTTCTTTGGAGACGGAAAATTCCAAGTTCCAAGTTCCGCCGCGGGGCTCATCCTCCGCGCTCTTCTGGCGCAAGGCCTCTTCTTGGGCCTCATCCTTCGGCAGCGCCTTGGGACCCCCCAGAGACACCTCCAAAACATTGTCGATTTCAGTCAAACCCCCGCGAGAGTTTGTGTTTGGGCAGGGCGGTGTTTGGGGGCGGCTCCGGTTGAAATGCTGGATTCCTGTTAAAGAAAAATCGCGAGATCCGCTTGGCGGAATCTCTGACATGTCCATCGAGGTATACCACTATAATACCGCAAGTGTCAAAGATGTCTCCTAAGATCTCCTAAGTTCTGGTTGGTCCACTTATTTCCCCACAAACTCCAGGTGTCCCGCCCTTCAAACCGAAAACCATTTTGGTTTTCGCGGGTGCTCTTTAGAACCCGCGGGCGTTTTCACCTTCCGGTGCAATCTGCACGAAGGTGAGCAGTAAAAAAGGGCAATTCTCATTGGGCAGCTCAAAGGGAGACGGTCGCAAATATGAGCAAAGGCACCCAAAAGCTCTCTGGGAAAAGCCCACGGAAGCCACCCTCCAAAAGGCTCTCGGAGCCTCTGCAGCTCCGTCCGTCCGCCCGTTGGGGCGTCAAAGTCAGAAGCGTTTCTTTTTGCCCCGAAAAATTCTCGCTTGAGGGAACCCGCGAAGGAGGCACCGGGAGCCATGCCACGACTCATGCACCAGCTTGGCGTACCCCAAACACACCCAAAATCAGGGGTGACTTGTGTATCAACTCAAGTGTAGAGAAGCCACGCAAATCGCTCCTTGGTTGTTCGAATGAGTCATAATGGAGCACCTACCGGCTGCATCTACTTGCACGAATGAAGCTTGTGAGGGCCCTCGAGTTGAGATGAGCAACTTACAACTGGCTTCTGGCCCTTTCAAGGAGTGACTTCATGCTCGCAAAGGGCACGTTCAAAGTGAGCAACGGACGCCGCTTGCTGACAGGGTAACCCCACAACTTGGGGAATTACTTAAGATTGAGGTTCCTTTCCCCTGTTGCGAAAAAGAAGAACCCTTATCTGCATCCCCCACCTGCTGCAGAACCCACATGCCTGGGCGGTTCCCTTTTAGGTGATGCATGAAGATGTTCATTGCAGTGCCCTGCCCGAACTTCTGATTATTCTGAGCCCAACACAAGTCCCCTCCCACGGGCAAAACGGGTGATGCGTCAAGCCACCACAAAGGAAAATGCAGGGGTTTCTCAACTAGGTCCTCCAGATTGGAGAGGTTAGAATGAGGGTACACTATTTTTTTCTGTAGTCTATTTTAGTAGGGGAACCTTCCCCAAAAAAGATTCTGTAAAAGGGCATGCCAATCAAAATAATTGCCTTTCGGCTTCCACCTTTTTTTCACAAACCCTCAAAAAGTCACCAGTCCTTACATGGAGAAAAGAGAAAAGCAGGTGAAAAAAGGGGATTCGCGCGCCCCTCCACGAAACGGAAAGCCCTACGTTCACTCGCTTGCGAGGCCGCAGGCACGCCGCCGTTGGGCACTTCCAGCACGTCGCCGGCGAGGGCGTCTTTGGCCGTCTCCGAGTAGCGGCTCAAGACGTGCAGCACGTCCGTCACGAAGGGGTCGCTGTCCATGGCGGCTTTCACTCAAAAGAAGGAACTGCGTGGTGGACGGGCCTTTAAAAGTTTGTTTGTTCGGCCTTACACGGGATGTCCCAAATCTCATTTCAGCAACTGAGTTTTTGTATACTTGCGTTCCATCCGGACGAAGCTTGCACCTGCCAATGGCAAGGTGCCATATCCAAAGTGGATAAGCCTTTGCACAGCTGCAGCATGTGCGTATGGGACGGCCTTTCTTGCGGCGCTTTCAAAAGGGCTCAGTTTCACCGGGGAACTCATGCAACCGGGTCAGCGCAAGATATGGGACGGACATTCGCAAGCCGGGACGGTCATACCGCAAGATATGGGATGGTTCACTCTTGGTGGGGTTCACTTTCAAGGAAAGCCTGGACAAAATACCTATATGTGTGCCTCCCGTTCGGTCAGACAACTCTTCGGCATGGGATGACTTTCGCTTGTTTTTTTTCCGTTTCGCGCATGGCCACCCACGGTCTTACCTACGTGTCCAACTCCAAAACCTTCGCCGGTTGCTTGGGCCACTTGGCTGCCAGCGGCCCCAAAAGGCCAAAGCTTCGTCAGTTTCAATGGGCCCACTTTGCAGATTTCGGCGGGAGACCACTTAAGAAACCCTGGAATGATTCGATTTCCCTGCAAATACCAACGAACAGTGATTCCCATGGTTTTAGAGTGGTGTAGGATTTCGCAACCATCCACAGTACTTCCAACTCAAACTCGCCTCGGCCAAGCAGCCCCAAACCTCGGATCTACATCTTTGTTCATGGGTGGTGGGCAAAGATGTCTCCAGCCCCTTCTGCATCCCGGGAAAGGCGATGTCGATTTTCCGCTGAAACAATCTTTGGTACTTAGAGTGGCTATTACATTGCAACTAATCCGCAGCTGGTCTTTGCTGGCATTGGGGTGCTTTGGTCTGTCCAAAAGGAAAACCCGTTGTCCAAAATAGGGTCCAAAAATTACAACGCCCCAAATGAACAAAAGTATTTGGTACCGAGAACCGATTCCTATGCCTACGTGCTCTCCTGATAAAGGCACCGCCTCTTTTCGGACCCCGTTCAAGTTGGGGGAACTAAAGGTGGTTTTTGAGGAGGTGGTTAACCATTTTTGGGCCAAAGGGAAGTTGACTCTGCCAAAAGTTGCCAAACCTTTGTGGATTTCCGCGTCAACAGCAAAAGGCCAAGCCCCTACAGGCTCCGAGGAGCGCTTAGGTCAACCACTCGCTGCAAGCGTTGGCAACCCCTGGCAACGTGTGACCACGCAGCCGAGGTCACGCGAGTGAGAATCATCTGCCCTCACAGCAGAACCACCAAATTGTGATACCCGCGTCTTGATGGCGCACGCTTCTTCGGAAACCAAAATGACTGCAACCCTCCCGCCACCCCAATTTGTCACTTTCAAACGCCCCAGACTTGACCTTTCAGCAAGCAAAATGACCCCACCCCACACCCACCGACCCACCCACCTCACGCCACACCCCACCCCACCCCACTAATTTAACAATCACGGCCAGCTCCTTGCCGAAGAAGCGGCCCAGGAACCCCGGCTTCGGCTCCTTGAGCCGGACGACCGCCAGACACCCCGCCCGAGAGGCGACCCCGCTCCCCAAAAAAAAACACGCCGCAGCGGCTCTGCCGGAATCCGTCCTGGAAGGCCCTTTTTTTTTGTCCAGCTCAGTTGCCCAAACCAAAAGGTTCACCTTTTGGAACCAAAGCTGGAGCAAAAAGACCGTCGACCTTTTGGAAAACAAAGGGAAACTCAAACCCCTCAGGTCGGCTTTGAACAACTGACTGAGTAAGGGGACCGGTTCCTGCGCAGGTTTTATGTGGAGGCGCTTCAGCATATTGAACTCCCGAAGGCCCATGGATAAGGTCCATGGATAGAGGATATCTGTTTGGACCCAAAATGGGGGACCTCCATGTTCAGTAGGGGGTATCTTTTGTTTGAGGGCACCCTTTGGGGGTGGTTCAAAAGGAAACCTGCCCTTGTCCAACACGTGCCGGTTTGGTCGGATGAATCCTATGCGATTGTCAGATCAGAAAGGTATGTCCGGAGCGGGTGGGTTTGTGCGCCCAACCACTTTTGCCTCCTTGCTGTACTACTTCCAGATTCGGTTTCATGTTCCGTCCAACCCCAAAATATGACATAGTTTCGGGGGAGACCCCAGTGTTGTCACGGTCTACCTACTTGTCCAAGAAGGTCGTCCAACAAAGACAACTCTGTGCTTTGATTTGCGAATCTGGAGATCTGCTTTGGACTCAAGCAATGCCAGAACCTAAGCTCCCTCACTTACCTGGGGGGCAATCCGGGGTCAACACCAGGGTCGAGCGGCGAGTTTGTGACTTCAGCCCGGGGATATTAAGCAGCCAGTTGCCTCAGTTGCTTGCAGGGAATCAACAAGGGCTTTGGGAAACCAATGGATCCCAAAACCATGAGGCATGCTGGGGGTCCTGTCCTCACTCCTTGAACAAAACAGCAAGTCGAACCCTTGCTGGAGGTTGCCCGTGTCCTGTTTCAGAAGCGTTTGCGGCGCACCAAAGGCTCAAGCCACAAGCTTCGCCTTTGGTAAGAGATGGCAACTTTGCCATTTTGGGAGCATCCGAAAAGCTGAAAAACATACCAAACAATCCTATGGGAGCAAACATACCAACATTCCGAAGGGAACATCCAAAGGGAGCATCTCTACGTCATGTATAGAAGTTACACGCAACCCCTGCACCTCCCAAAATTGCCCGATCTCTACCCGAAGTTGCCTCTCACAAATCCCACTTATGCGCCAACGAGAACCCCGGAGCGGATAATTTTCGGACATGCCTAAGGTTCACAACTTCCAAAGTGGCCTTCAGAAGGCCAAACCACCCCCCAGCTCTCAAGCTCCAGGGAAGCTGCATCCAGAGTCAGCTTCCCAGTGGAACTTCTGATCGAGTGAGGCCCAGGCCTTCAGCACCAAGAACATCTACAAAACTCCCACGCTGGAACTCCAAGAAAGGCGGCCGTGTCCGCGGAAAGAAGTGCCTCTATACCAACCTCACCATGGCCAGGCCTAGAGGTTTGGTGTTCTTAAATGCTGATGCCCTTGTTCTTTCAGTCTGCGGCGAAAAGAAAGAAAACTGGATGCCTGCAAAAGAGTTCAGGCTCCCCTCCAAAACCGGCAGCCGACACCCTAGAAAACCACTGGGACAAAAATGGTGTGTTAGGACAAAACAAGGGCGTGGCATGTGTTTCCTTAGTTGTTGCCGACTTTGATGTTGTTCATTTTACAGCATGCCCACAAACAAAACAACCGCCACACAATCTTGCTGGCTGCGCAATCGAAGAAAGGACCGAAACCCTGGCCCCGTTTCGCCCAACCGGATCCGCTGCGGTTTGGCTCCAGTTTCCCGTCCTCCGGCTCCGCCGGCGGAGGCTCCTATGCGCCGGTTCAATGATTTGACTCCACCTATAGCTCCTTCAATAAACCTTTGCACTGGCTCTTTCATTGGAAGCCGGAAGAGTGAACTGAAGCTTTCAAATGAAAACAAACCTTCAAACCAAAAAAAGCACAAAAAGATCTGACCGGGGAAAAAAACAAAAGACTTGCGGGGGGTTTTCGACTTTTGGAAAGCCAACAAGAAGTCATCCAGCTCCCTACCGGCTCAACCGCCAACCACCAGAAAGGATTGCTTCTTCCAGAAAAAAAAAAGGAAAAAAAAGCTTCATCTATCCCGGCTCGGAGATCCATCCACATAAAGAGCTCCGTGCTTGTGGCCTTTAAAGGGGCCATGACATCTTGAAACCACGGATCCGCGCCGCTCCTCGGGCGCCGGCGCCGGCGGCTCTGGCTCCGGGGCCTCCGGGGCCTCAACCTCCGGGACCTGAGCTGGAGACGTCGAAGTGGAGCGATGGGTGTGGGTGAAAAATACAAACCAACCCCCAAATGAGTCGCAATCAAAACCTGGTACAAAAATGGTCGACCCAGAACCATGTAAAGAATTAAGAAGGCGGCCGCAACTATTTCTGGCTGGGACTGTCCCTTACTAACCTTCATCTACCCGGGTTTTCATTCTGGCTCACATGCCATATTGGCAAATGGAAAGGACTAAAGCCTGCCGTCCCATGCTGGTCTCATTTGACCCATATCCATATCTCGAGATAAGCTAAGCTGGATGGATGGCTGGCTGGAGTGATGGACAAATAGATTAGATTAGAATAGATTAGATTAGATTAGAATAGATTGGATTAGATAGAGAGATACATTGCCTGCGCTCAAGCAGGACGCGGCCGGTGTTGTAGGCATTGTAGGACTTGCTGCAAACCCCAAGAATGACAAAAACCACGTGGAATAGCTCTGCCCCCACCCTTTTCACATGGAACCCGACGTTCGGGGATCTTGGTTGGGACCATTTTCCCTTTACACGGGCCCCGGAAGGTCAGGTTCCATGTGAATTGGTGGGAGGGCAACTGAAAGACACAGCTCTTCTCTCTCCCCTCGAGCTAAGGAACACGTTGAAAAACCCCCGTAGAATTCACCCGTGCTGTATAACTGTTTGGCGATGGCCAAAAACCCCTGCGAATCCATAGCTGGAAACCTTGCAGATTGATTCGTTGAGGAGGTGAATTTCCGTGCTCCCTTTTTGGGGTTCCCGTGTCACACCGAAAAAACGGATGCCTCCTCCTGCCGAAACCTTGGAGCCCCGTCGTCTTATTCGCCAACGGCAGTCAGCTGACTGAACACATTCGAAAAGAAAATCAGGCAACTTTGTTTCGGCGAACCAAAATCCCATTCATATCAAAGAAACCGAAAGTTCTTTGAATCGATGCTTTGCGAATCACAAATTTGAGCCCTAAAGCCCTGAGGGGCTGCTTCAACTGTTTCGTTCGCTTGCCTCCCCGACCTCGATTTCCCCGACCTCCAGCGGGACACCGATGAAACAACCAGAAATGTGGCTCAACCGATGCCGGGAGAACCCACAAAATGATGGGCTGTCCTCTTCTTTCCAGAAGCCGAAAAAGCCCGCCAACTCCTGGGCTTTTTTCTCCCCCAAAGACACTCGGCACGTCGAACCAACAGAAACGTTGCTTGGAGCCTCCTTTTCGGCTGCCTCCGCAGGCCTCAGCGACGGGCGCCCGATTTAAGCTGGGTGGGAGGTGCTCCTTTTGTGTGCTTAAAGGGAAGCCAAACGGATAACCCGGCCAGTTGGGGCATTTCTTGGAAACCAAAAGGAAAACCCGGCCGGTTGGGCCAAACATGTTTTTTTTGGGGGTTCTTCCAAAATGGAAGGGACAGACCCAACTGTCTCAGCTTCCCGATAAACCTTTCCTGTATTGCTGTGGCTCTAAAGAGAGTAGTCCCTTCGGGAATTTGATCTTCCAGGTACCTTCCCACAGGTGCTAGTGGGAAGAGTAACTGGATTGAATTGGTGGTTTGAAAACCCCATGGTTTCCAAAGCAAACCAGGGGTTCAAAGGCACTGGAATTTGCCGCCTGGCATACCGGCTTGGGAAGGACGCATGGTTTTCGACCGAGTTTCGGCCTCAGGACCGAGACCAAAAAAAAACGCGTATGAAAGCACCCACTGCTTCTTGAAAAGCCCAGCCCAAACGTGAACGGTCGCCGGAAGAAAAGGAAAGACACGGAAAGAAACGGAAAGAAAAGGAAAGGAACGGAAAGGAACGGAAAGAAACAAAAAAGAAGCACACGAAACACCGAAAGAAACAAATCAAAAATCGCGCAACGCCTGGTTTCCCTGGCGGCGCTTTGAATCGGCGCTCGCAAAAGCTCCAGTGGAGGGGACCAAAAGGTCCTCAGTGACCCCAGGCACATGGGACCCAGGGCTTGCCGCGCCTGCAATTTTGGCTGAAGATGGGTGCGTCTTCTTATCAAAAACCACTCCAAATTGGGCACCGTCCTGTTGTTTTTCCTTCAAAACACCGCCAAAAAGGGGGTAGGTATTAAGAAACCAAAAAAAGACACACCCAGTTTGGCTACCTTAAGAGAGTCGCTTTTTGCTCCGCCCTTAGCAAATGGTCCAGCCGGATTCCAGACGCTTCACATCCACCACATTGATACCACTTGGACAGCAACCCCAGGTTGCAAATCAAGCAACCTAGTTGCCCCTCAGACCTCAGACAAAACACGGATCCCCTCTTTGCATCGGTTGATGCCTCTGCGCTGGTGGTGTTGGCGAATGGCAATGAGTTGATCCCATGGGAGTTTGGAGGGTTTCAAGGCCTCGAAACTTTTCTGATCCAGTCCGAATCGGACCCATTGCCGCCATGCCTCACATTCTCGAAATGAAAGGGGGTCTACCCAAAATCAGAGGCAAAGAACTCAAAGGTCACCTTCATCTTCCCCTTTGATTCTGGCTTGGGTCATTTTGGAAACCACAAACCTTTGAGAATCAGTGCAAACCATCCACCAACTCCACACTTACGCCCTGGACTCCACTCCAAGCGACGGCATGCATGCCTTCACAAAGCCATTGTCAAAACGGGCTGGATGGTCAAACGACCCCACTTTGATCCAAAAGCCAAATGACCCGCACGTTGTGCAAGCATCTTTCAGCAAGTTGGTCGGCCCTCCCATGTCCAAAGCTCTTCCAATCAACGACACTACCAAATAGTGACCATCCTTGACACCCGGCGTCACTCACGTGCGTCAGTACCATGGCTACTGCATCTTGCCTATGTTGGTCGGGTCAAAAATTCGCTTGCAAGACGACCGACGAGCGCCATCGCAGGGCAGAACCGTATCGGCATGCTGTGACTCCCTCACGCTGCTCTCCGTGTTCATATTGTGGGCCCAGCATTAGGCTCATGCTCTGGCACTATGTTGCTTTCGTGTCCTAGAGCACTGCGACACCATTCTTCACATGCATCTGTGTGACACGGTGTCCACGTTACAAGTGCCTACGAGTTGCATCCAGATTCACTGTTTGACAGGGCAAAGCACGGCACGAGTCAGTTGGATGCAAGAAACCGTTTCAGCGGAAAAATACAAGACATCAAAAAGCAAACAAACATAAAAGAATCAAATGCCGAATAGCAAACCCAGATTCATAAACCCCAGCTTATCAATAGGGGGAAGTGTCCCTGGAATGGATTTAAATCACTTTTGGAGGGAAAGGTCAACATGACAAAACGTCGAAAGTCGGAAGATCTATTTCTTTGACTCAAGCTTGCGCAAAGGTGTGCGACTCGGATCACGGGAACACCCGGTGTTGAATGGAGAGCCTTCAAAGTGGCCTGGAACTCTTGGCTGACTTCCCAAGCGCATTCCCACAAGGCAGGTCCCATCAAGTTTTGCAGGTCCTGTATGTTGCTTCAAGGAAAAATGCCCCTGTGCTTTCGTGGCCTCAGTCGGCCGTGCCTCCACAACTTGCACTGCTGTACAACTGCGCGCCATGAAACGCCATGCGGCTGTACAAGTTCGGGGTTGGTGCCCTTGAAGCGACGCCTCACCGAGAGACACAAATTCGCCGGCGGCTAACAACTTTGGCCAGGCCAGGGCAGCCACGCAAACGAGTTCACCTCTCCAAGTGAGTCACCATCAAGAAACGGCATTTTTTCTGGTTGATCGTGGCTCAAGTCTTTTTCTTTCCTTCTTTCCTCAGGTCCAGAGGCAAAAAGAATGGTTGATCGTGGCTCACGTCGGTTTCTTTCCTTCTTTCCTCATGTCCTTTGTGACAAACGCAGAAGCCTCCCTGGGCCCGGCCTTACAACTCCTGCCGCCAGCAGCTCCCGGTTGAGGGCCGCCCGCCGTGCCACCGAGCGCCCGAGCGGAAAACGTCCGAAGGCCGCGAGCTTCGCGGCGGTTTGGCACGGCCCGCAGAGTCCACGGGTCCGGTGGATGCGCGGGAAAGAACGGTTGCCCTCTCAGGATTGGAGCCTTTGAAAATTACACCCAGGCATATCTGAGCGACTGAAACCTCTATTCCCATCTCTGTTCTATTCTTTAGGGCCTTGTACTCTGTTTGGAGCATGGACGTTCTTACCAGCATGAAAGCACGTTGTGAAGCGCTTTTGGATTCGAGTCAACCTGTGGCTCAATTCAAACAGAGATTCGCCTCCTTAAACCCTTCAGTTTGGTGTTGTGTTCTCCAGACAAAAGGAGAGGGGGACCTTAGTGGATCCACGATACGGGTACGAACTTTGCTTGGTGGCATCATTCAGCTTGGGATGTCTGCCCACCAACCGCTTTGGAGGGCTCCCAATAGCCATGTGTGAACAAGTAGGAACCACTTTCCACCAGATTACTTTCCCTTTGGAGACAGGGCCCCATTCATTTCAAGAGCCTTCTATGACTGTCTACGTGGAACACGCCGACTTGGCACCGTCTGGACCACTTGACCTGTGCGGGTTTGTCGCAAAATAGGGGAAAACCCCCAAAAAAGGTGGTTCAAACTTCAAACCATCCAAAAAGAGAGCCAACTCCCAAAACAAGACAGAGACACCCATGCACGGTTTGCTCTTCCTTCCTGCCAGCGCATCCACCGCGGCCATGGCACGCCACGGGCCATTGACAGTTGGTCGCCAAACCACCGAACCACGCGCGGCTCTCTTGCAGCATGGCGCGCCTCAGGCGGAATCATGCAGACTCGCAGTCGGTGCAACTGCACGACTCACCTCTGGTCGTCGTGCTCAAGGTATCACTGTCCTCGGGCGAATGATTTGTTATTGGGGCAAGTCAAAGCCCCGATTGAGAGGTGGCGGTTCCACAAAATGATGGAGCTCAACTAGATTGGGACCCCCGCTGATGAGTCAATCAAAGATGGTTGTTTTGGTGTGTTTGGTCTACCCAGCATTGTTAAACCCCCTGGTAGATCACTATGGGATCGTCCCACGAAAGACTCGCTTCAAATTTCGGAAACACTCACTAATCCACAAGACGACAAAACGAACTCCCGTGAAACGCTTGGATGCTGGTTCCTAGTTGATCCCGCCAAGAGAGCCCCCCCCCCCCGTGGACACATACACAACACCGACGGATCGGCCCATGGGGTCTAGGGTCCCTGTACCACACTCTGAGTTGCTTTAGGGGTGTTTGATTAGGCCACGTGGCTGCGGGTCCAGAATAGGTAAGGAAAATGAAACCCTGGTAAATGGACCCAAAGACTCACACCTGCGTTCCAACTCCTGGTGGTTTCATTTCGACCCATACACCACATCCATGTAAGTGGTGTCAAATTGCCAGATCAGTGGGTTAAGCTGAAAGGCGAAGCGGCCCCGAACTCGGGGCAGGCCCATCTTTCGGGGCGACCCTTCAGCTCGCATGTCCCAAGGCTTCGGATCCGCGCCCTTCCGAAGGCCCAAGGCCGGGCTGGCCGAAGGCCGGGCTGGCCGGGCCGCTGAGTCCGAGTGAGTCGTGGAGATCTTGGGGCCGTCCAAAGAGCAGCTGAAGTCGAGGTCGCACCCTCGGCTCCCGGCTAGCCGACAGAGCACCAAGTGGGGATGTGCCGTTTGAGTTGATTCGGCTCCTTTAGGCTTTGAAACCACCACGCCACAGGCATACCTTCCTTCAAACGAATGTGACTGGGTGACTTTGTTGGGGAGTTGTTAGGCTTTGTTGGTCGATGTTGTTGCTTTTTGTTCATTTTTGTTTGTTTTGGGGGGGGGAGGGAGGAGGGGTTGTAGGGAGCCGAGTGCGAGGAAAGTTCACGGCGGTTCCTTTGGGCTTCGAAATCACCATGCCAAAGGCATACCTTCCTTCAAACGACGTAATCGTGACCTTCCCCTGGATTTGGGAACGGGGAATGCAAGTTCAAGCACCGCGGTTTCTTCCCGCCAAGCTGAGCCCTTGATAAGCAGAGTCAAAACCGCGGGGTCCTGGTAGCCAATATGGCTTGTGTCAAAATCGGAGAACCCAAAAACTTGGTGGCTCAATTGACCCCGGACTCAGAGGGCGGTTCTACCAATAGGGAAGGTTCGCATCTACAAATGCCGTTTCAATGGACACCCTCCGCAACAGTGTTGTTGGTCACTCAAACCCAAGAACTTCGCCATACGCACGTCGATCAGATTAAATGGCACGACAACTTCAACACTCAACATGGGCAACACATGTTCAAACAGGTCAAAATATGGCAACACATGTTCCGTTCGTCATTGAAGGGAAACGCGTCACCCGCATGGCGAGCTTCGTGCAGCATGTTAAATGTGTGGACATGGTTGTGTGCCGGTGTATGACTTTCAAAGCCTTTCTCAAGGCCTTGATCGAACACAAACCTATCCCCCCACCTTGAGGGGAGGGGCGAGGGTCCCCCGATTTCGCTTAGTCTTCCCACCGAAAGATAAATGGAACTCGGTAACAGGGATCCTCACATTATACACCTGAACATTGCCTTGTAAATGGTGGTGTCCCTTTGTTTTGGTGGAAAAATCAATTGGGCAACATGTATCTTTTAATCAGCCCTGGGTAACTTGCTGATAAAGGCGCATCTGGACAACCACACACCCAGTTTGCTTGTGTTTCATGGCCTTGTTCCCTTGCCAGAATCTGAGAATCACTCTGACCGTTCGCGCGCGTACTCGTGTGACACCCGGGCGCCTTCCTTTGAAGAATTGCGATCGAAGAGGTGCAGAAGGCCCTCGAAGCAAGTTCCTCCGCAAATGGGGGGGTGTCTTTTTGTTCTCTCAAAGAGGGCTTCCCGAAAACACTGGCTTTGCTATAGCCAAAGGATACCCTGGAACAAGAACCCATTTGGGTAAATCTTGGGGGCACCTGCTTGTTTGTTGCAAAGGAAAACCAATGGAAGAAACATGTTTGGGGGGTCCCCCACTTGGAGACGACCCCAGTTCGTCATCCTCGGACACTCAATGCCGGCGCGTGTGCGCGCGTTTGTTCACACGTCAGGGTCTTTAAAAGCCGAACCAAGCCTCACAAAAGCGAGGGATGTGTCCATGTCCACATGGGATCTGCCTATGTCCAGCAGTCTGGACACCAGCAAAGTTCCCTGGAGGATGTGCCATGCTATCATTTCTACCAAAGCTCCATCAGCCTACACCCGTTCGACACGTGCCATCATTCTCGGATTCAGGCGCTATGTTGATGCCTTCCCTCTCATGTTGCTTGAATACATGGCCAACAGAGTTATCATAGCAAAATGCAACAACATAACATGACAGCATGCCAAAACGAGAGCCCTAGTGCCCTCCCCACCCCATTCGCAGCCCTCACATTTTGCTTCACCCCTGCCAACCGGCATGCAACTGAGCTCACCAAATGGGAACTCACTTTTAAATGGGCCACCAGCTGATGTTTGAAAACCGAGAAAGCACAGGACACCCGCCCTGCCCCAAAAATAAAGGCTCACCCGCCGCCTTGTGCGGCCTCATTGGGGGAATCGCTCATGCGGCGGATGGTGGTCAAAAGCAGCTTGCCTCAGAGCGGCAGAGGAACAGGGGAAAGCGACATCAATTTGTCGCGGGCTGATGGGTTTGCCGAGTTTTGCGGTAAATCCAACCGTCGCCCCGATCGAGGCTGCTGTTAAGAGAAACCAGATGGGAGATCAAACCCCATGTTGAGGGTTCCACATCCAATTCTGCATGCCACACGTTCAGGGCACTCCACCTTGGATCCAAAGAACCCAATCAGTAACCCAAGGAACCCCCCCCAGAAAAAAAGAGCCAGGAACCTGAAAAAAAACCGAACAAGGAACCCAAGGACAGCATGTCTAGGGCGCGTACCAGCCATCCACTTACTTTGGATCCAGCCCCCAGAGCACGGCCATAGAGAACCCTTTGGCTTGAGGGCCTTTTGGGGGGGAACTCCCCCCAAATGCTTGGTTGTCCATTTTGAGGGCAACGAAGCCCGAGTCCAACAAAATGGCCTGAATCTGTGTGTTTTTCCGGGTCCAGCTTGGCTTGCAGTAGGTTTACGGTGGGTTTAGGGTGGGTGGGTTTAGATGTTTAGGGTGGGTTTAGGGAGTGATTAGGGGTTGGCTTTGGGCTTGGATTAGTGCGGGTTTTGAGATGAAGAAGGGTGCTTGCTTGCTTGCGCGCGGCTTGCTTGCTTGCGGGTGGCGGTGGAACAAAAGTCCCAATCCAGCGCTATAGAAACTCATTAAATAACATGGCACCCCCGAAGGAAACCTCAAAGCCCCACGCTCACCACGGCTCCATTTCCCTCCCTCCCGTTCCTTCCAAGGTGCGTCGAAAGGCGCGCCCGGTGGGGACCTTTCCGGGGATCAGGCCGCAGCCATGCTGCTTCTTCAAAAGGCTCCTGCCGATCCATCCGACGGAACGCGCTCGTCAAGCTCATGGGGCAAGTGAAGTGGGGCCCCCGCGCCTTGAGGCGAAAGGTACCCCCCCTTTTCGGTGATGGGAAACCCAAAACAAAGCCGAACACCATTTTGGGGGGGTCCAACCCCGAAAGATGAAAGACATCCCATTGGGGGCCTTGGGGACAAGGCTCATTCTTGGAAGGGCTTGCCCGCAACTCACAGGATCAAGCCGCTCTGGGCATATAGGAGCTCCATAGCAAAACCGCCAAAGCCTCGGCATGCCATTTGAAGGAGACTCCCATTTGGCTGTGGGTCAAAAATAGGGTAACCCCTATGGACCCCTGGTAAATGGAAACATGGACTAAAACCTGCGGTCCCCTAATGGTTTAATTTTGACCCATACCCATCTGAAGGAGACTCCCACGATGGACACAACTCCTACCGAAATACCTTCAACTTGCTGGTGTTCAGTAGGGAAACCACAAGGCATGGTTTATAAGGGTCATTCCCTCATTCCCTGCTGAGCGCCAGCAAGTTAAGATTCTCGTCTACGGCAAACACGAAGGACTTGTACAAGACTCTTCAAAGCACCACTCTGGTGCTACTGAGGCCTTATTCGCAAAATGGTGCCTCCTTTTTTGCCGCATAAGGGTTAGTGCCAAAATGGGAGGATTGCCCAGCTCCACTGGGCAGCTCCCCTCAGCAGCTGATGGGAGTAGGATTGATGCCACTCCCACAGCGAGGGAGGAATCCTCCCACCTCACCGGATGCCCTCCCGGCATCATGGGTGAGGAAGGAAAGTAGCGAAGATCAGTGTGATCAATTCGCTTTCGACTGAGGGGAAGACCCGGTTCTCAGTCGGAAATTGCGGGTCCGGATGAGTAAGTTCATCCGCCCATGTGTTAAAGTCGCGCTTCACATGCGACGGTCCCAACATGACCTGCTGGTCATGCAGCGTTAACACAATTTCCATGAGGATGGCCGCATTGGGCATCCTGCGAGTGGAATCGTTAAGAAGGGAGAAAACATTTCCCTGGTTATCACTAGCAACCAGGATCCTAGTGTGAGAAGCCGAGCCGGCTGCACAAAGCAGAACGGCCCTCACCAAAAGGAGGAGGCCGAAGAGCTCCAAGGCCGCTATCGCCCGCTGCGGGTCCCCAGTAGTGAAGGCCCACGGCTCGCCCTCCGGTGTGATTCTGTGCTGGAACCACTTCACACGGGACTTGTCGGGGTTGGGCACGTCCGAGCACCAACCACCAACCCATGCATGGTCTGCCTGTCTGCCAGCTCCCGCATCAGATGCCCCCGTCCATGGGAGTGTGGGAGCAAACGGAGATGCCAGTGGGAACCTCTGGTTGAAGAGTCTCCCCAAAAGGATGGCCAGAGCACGAACCAGCTTCGGTGGCCTGCCCGAAGTGGTGCAGGCCTTCTTCCAGCTCCAAAAGGGCTGGAGGAAAGGTTTCGTCAATGGGCACGCCGAAGTAGCCCATTGAATACGGCCTAGGGCTTGTTCCACCTCCTTGCTGGTGAAGATGTCCCCCTGGGCCAGCCGTTTAAGAGTGGCCAGGATTATGACGTGTTTGACTGGAGCCAGCAGTACACAGGGCGTGATTGGGTCCACCACAAAGCCCAACCAGGTATTGATCGGGGAGAGCGCCGTCTTTTCCAGGAAAGCGGGACTCCCAGCGCCAGCAGTGTAGCCAGGATGGCTGTGGCGTCCCAGTCCGCCCGGCTGCATCTGAGGACCCAGCAGTAGTCGTCCACAAAGACTAAGTGCCAGTCCACCTGAGGGAAGATGTAGTACAAGAGTCTGAGCACCAAGGATGCCTTTCTTCCCCAGTACAGTTGTGCCGAGGCCATGCCGTACGTGCCCACTCTGTTGACCCACCACCGGTTTTGGATGCAGGCCACCTGGTATTTCCAGTCTTTCGGGAGCACTTTTATACGCCTGTGGGCCTTGGTGACATCCGCCTTGAGGATGATGAAGGTTTCCCCCTGTGTCGGCGGCTGCCACATCAGGGGTTCCCCCCTGATCCCCCCAGGGCGTTCCGTGCCCGGGGGGTTGGGGGGAAGGGGGCCCTCCTATCAGGGCCCTCGGCACCTGGGAGTGGTCCCTTCCCTGAGGGTGTCGACCCCAGAGAGACGTCCAGGCCGCCGGAGGTATCCATCATCCCCCTGCCCCGATCAGGCCCCTCGGCCCTGGGGGGCAGGCTGGTGCTGTGGGGGTCCCTCTCAGGGCCCTCGGCACCTGGGGACTGCCCCTGCACCGGCTGGTGAACATCCCGAGGTCTCTCCTCAGTGCTCGAGAGCGTGGCTCGAAGTAGATGGGGATGGTCCGTCGCTGTCCTGAGCCAGTGGATGGCGTGGAGGCAGTCTCCAACCATCGGTGCAGTGGTCTTCTCCCCCGTATGAGCCTGGATGTGTGCGTTTGCTCCCCCTTTCGAGCCATCGTAGATCGTCCTGATCTTGTCTGACTCATCAATCCCCGCAAGGGGGCCCGGGCAAAGTTCCTCCGGTTTGCAGCGGCACCTCTCTGCCGCCTCCGACCGAGTGAAGGGCCCGTCCACCATGTCCAAGGCTCGTTCCTCGTAAAAGGTTGCCTCGATTTCACTGGCAAAGAGTTCAGCCGTTGGGTAGTTATCATGGGCCACCGGCGGGGGGGGTCTTCCCCCAGCCAGGCTTCTCCCTTAAGCTCCTCCTTAGTCGGCCAAACTCCGGGGGAGGTCAAGGTAGGGTCCGAGACTCCCAAGGGGACCCCCTCTTTCAGTGTCAGGGGGAACTCCCAATCAGGGTCACCTGAAAGGGATGCCAAGTGCGAAACTAGGTCCAGGAGGAAGGGTTGTCCTGGGCATCGTTCATGGAGGTGCCTAGGTCCCAGGATAGCCCGCAGCTCATCGAGGTCGGCTTCCTGGAAGGGGTGTGTGGTGGCACCTGATGCCAGGGACATCCGGACCTTGTCAATCCAGGGCCGGGTAAGGGTCATGATCAGGGCGCCCAAAGTAGCCAAAGGGGAAATTCTCCGAAAGGGGGGGTTGAGGGGAAGGTTTCCCCCCCCCATCCCTCAGGGGGCGTGAGCGGAAACCCAATTGGACAATCGCAACTCGGTCAATGAGGCGTGGGACCCTGAAAGCGGGCAGGCATTCGGGGCGGTCCAGGACCTGGTCCCCATGTTCTTCCTTCCCCAGTTGTTCCGCATCTCCGGCCATCGGGGGCATGGGAGATGGGAAGTCTGGGTTCATTGTTCCACGAGGGCTTACGGTGTCTGCCTCAAGGTGGATGTGCCCGTGCTGGCGGGGCTTCGGGGCATTCTTGCCTCCGGGCTTTGGGCCCTGGTGTGATGAGGAGGGACCGCCTCCCTGATTGGGTCCCCGTTTTCCTCGGGGGGAAGGGCCCTCCGGGGGGGTGATTATTGCCCCTTAGGTGGTTCCTTAGGGTTTCCCGGGAATTGTGAGGGGATCCGGATGTGCCCCGGCGCTGCGAGTGACACAGCGATGGCTTTGGCCAGGCCTGCCATCATATTTCAAGGGTATCTGCTAAGAGTCGAGGACTCGTTGGTGCCCACATGTGACTGATGCGTGCACCGCATTTGATCCCAATCCTGAATTGGGAGATCCGTGGCTAGCGTAGTGGCCTTCTTGACCAGCTGGCCCAGGCGGCACTGGTCGAAGGAGATTGCTGTCAAGGAGTTTTCCTCCATCCAAAGCTGCCCCTCCTCCGTGATCCAGAAGGATGAGCATTCCTTGGCTTTGGGCAGCGAGCTGCTCACCACTGGGTCCTCCGGGTGCTCCAAGAAGGACTTTGGCCCTGGCAGAGAAACCGCCGCTCTTGAGGCCCTTGCCAGGCTGGTGATGTACATCTGCCTCAAAATGAGGATACTGTCATCATCAAGCTGAGTCTGGGCGGCCTGGTCCAGGTGTGGGAGGCCCCAAAGTGTCTCTCGAGTGCGCCCTCGCACCGGGCCCGGTTTGGGTATGTGGCGCAGGATGGACCATGTCCTGCAGTTGGGTCCTCCTCCAATGAAGACCACTCGGCCCTGCTTTGCTGCCGTGCAGAGAGCTCCATACAGCTCGGGTTGGAGCATGTCGTGGTTCCCTTTTGGTCCCGATCGTAGGATGTCTACCGCCACCACCATGCTGGAAAGGTGTGGGTAGTTGGCATGAAGACAGCTGTCCAAGGAAGTTGGGTCTTCCTTGCCTGCATAGAGCAGGACAATAATGGGCCCACTGGATGGAACTTTGGGCGATGTGCCCTGTGTCCATCTCAGCCGCTGTACCAAACGCTCCGGGATGTTCTCCATCCACGGGAAGATGTCCCATCCCGGTGACGGCTCCGTGGGACTTGTCAGGGGGGTAGCTGAAAGGCGCTGGCCCCCTTCATTCAGCCCAACCGAGCTCTTATAAAAAACCACCGGGTCCTGCTTGATGATGTTGGGCGCCGGAAGTGGGATCGGCTGCCTCCTGGGCGTGTTCCTTGGCGTTGCGGTGTGCTGCCAGTTATCCGGCATCGGGCCTGCTGGGCGCGGCCCCCCGTGTCAGGGCCCTTGGCACCTGCAGGGAACCGTCCCGTCCCTGCCGTTTCAGGGCCCTCGGCACCCGTGGCTCGGGGCTGAGGCGCCGCCGTTGTGCCAGCTGTGTGGTTGTTCTGACCCCAGCGAGGGTGTTGTGCACGCTGGTTCTGCCGTCCCCATCCTTGTTCCGCCGAGGATGGCCGCCACCTGGCCTGTCCCCCCCCTGTGTCAGGGCCCTCGGCACCTGCAGGAGGGGGCTCATGTGCCTGCTTGGGGCGTTTGCGCCCCCTCTCGCCCCCCCGGGCCTTATCAGGGCCCTCGGCACCTGAGGCCTCCCGGGGGGTCGGGGTCAGCGCCCCTAGTCAACCCGGGCAGTCCTGCGGGAGGTGGTCTCCCAGGCAGATGCGGCCCGTTGCCAGGATGAGGTTGCACTTGTGGGTGCGTCCGCAGTTGCCCGGGCAGCGCCCGCGCATCCAGTTGTTACAGAACTGGTTCC